AATGCAACCTGAGCCCTGCCACATGCACAATGGAGGACCTTCTTATAGTAACACCAGAGACACTTCAAGTGGCCAGCTACTGGCCAAATTACATTTAATAGAATGCCAAGTTTGCAAACTTTTTGTTTGTTTTTTAATGCAATACAACTGTTTGCTTCACTCTTGACACGATAAATAAATAATTCTGTCCCTGAGGCTTATAAAACAACAACTGGACATGTCTGTGATATCCCCAGGATTCTGTAACATATTAACACGGAGTAGCATCGAAATAGCACCGGAAACTCCAACTATGATAAAGGGTGCATCTATACTGTGGGATTAATGCAGCTAGACACCACATTAATGGCTACTAGATTACAGTATGCCTTTGAATGCCAGTTTCTAGGGAGCTTCCATGGCTGTAACTGCCACTACTGTTGATCATACAAATGGGCCTGGAAGGGGAAGGAAAAAAAAGCTTGATTGAGTTATTTCATTTATGTGCTACATTGATTATGTTGTCCAAAGCTTCTTTGGCTGGTTGCTTATGGTACCTGTTAAAAGGATAGAAATACAGTGTTGGGCCATAAAGTAAAAATATTGCAATAGGAAAGGGCTCTTGTTTTAGAACTCCAGCCAGCAAGACCGATCCTTGATCAGAATATTCCTCTCCATTTCTCCCGGGTTAAAGGATCCTAAACTGGTATTCTCAATAGCATTATTCAGGTTTATCTCAGACAGACTTCCCTGAAAGGTTTGTGTTTTTTGAGTGGTTGCTATGAGTTCCACAAAATACTGTCTGGATGTAGGTGAACTACAACTCCCAAACTCAAGGTCAATGCTCGCCAAACCCTTCCAGTAGTTTCTGTTGGTGGTTCTGTGTGCCAAGTTTGGTTCAATTCCATCATTGGTGGAGTTCAGAATGCTCTTTGATTGTAAGTGAACTATACATCCCAGCTACTGCAATCCCCAAATGTCAAAGTTTATTTTCCCCAAACTCCACCAGTGTTCACATGTGGGCATATGGAGTATTCGTGCCAATTTGGTCCAGATCCATCATTGTTTGTGTCCACAGTGCTCTCTGGATGAAGGTGAACTACAACTCCCAAACTCAAGGTCAATGCTCAACAAACCCTTCCAGTAATTTCTGTTGGGTTCTGTGTGCCAAGTTTGGTTCAATTCCATCGTTGGTGGAGTTCAGAATGATCTTTGATTGTAGGTGAAATATAAATCCAAGTAACTACAACTCCCAAATTAACGAATCAATAACCTCCCCAACCCCACCGGTATTCAAATTTGGGCATATCGAATATTTGTGCCAATTTTGGTCCAGTAAATGAGAATACAATCTGCATATCAGATATTTACATTACGAGCATTCTGAACTCCACCAACAATGGAATTGAATCAAACTTGGCACACAGTTCTCCCATGACCAACAGAAAATACTGGAATGGTTTGGTGGGCAGTGTCCTTTGGTTTTGGAGTTGCAGTTCACCTACATCCATGAATACTCAATATGCCCAAATGTGAACAGTGGTGGAGTTTGGGGAAAATAGAATCTTGACATTGGGAGTTGTAGTTGCTGGGATTTGCAGTTCACCTACAATCACAGAGCACTCCGAACCCCACCAACGATAGAATTGGGCCAAACCTCCCACACAGAACCCCCATGACCACCACAGTGGGCCACAGCAACGCGTGGCAGGGGATGGCTAGTCATTATATATTTTATATTACATGTAATATTACTAATAATATTACAATATAATGGCATAGTACAATATAGTAATATATAATATCTATATTGTACTATGCTAATAATATAATACATTGTATGTATATATATATCTTGTAAGCTGCTCTGAGTTCCCATCGGGGTGAGAAGGGCGGCATAGAAATAAATAAATATGGGTGGCTAAGGAAAGATCGAAATGCCACCCAAGGAGGCACGCTGGTTAAACAGGCCCCCCCCCCCCCCCGGTCCCCACCATGTCGATATGGGCAACCGCAAAGTTTGCAGTGTGAACTTCTTGTCTGCCGGAGACCAATGACAAATATTTCCTTTCAATTACCCCCGGTTCATAAAGCTAATGCTTGTTCCAAGCGGCAGGCCGTATCTATCATTTCGCCGGCTGCCTCCTCACTACATTAGTTTTATGGCCTTCTGCCTATGATGGGCACGTCGGATCCTGCCAGCGATAAGACTAACAAATTAGTCAAACTGACACCCACCGAGGGGGGACGTTGACGAGGCCGGGCTCCAGCCTGTCTCCTGCCCATTCGGTGCCGCCGCGGCCCTGGAAGGTTCAGAGTGTGATGGCAGTCCACGCACATAGGGAAGGGAGGAGGACGTTCAGTTGGCCTCCCTGTTTTACAACATCAATCAATCCCTAGGCGAAAACGCATGTGTCCCCAATCTGTCCATTTTGTCCGCCAGCCAAATGAGGTGGCATTTGGGTTGGCAGAAGGGCATTGCTGTTGATGGGACTCTGCGTCCTCCCAAGAGACACGGTCCCACTTGTGCATCTTCAAGGTCCATGGCAAGTGGCTTTCGCAATTGATTAAAGCAGGCCTGGGCCCATAACCAAAGTTAGGCTCTGTTGCCTTTCTGGAATTCAAGGAAGCTTCCTCTACAGCAGGCATGGGCCAACTTGGGCCCTCCCTCCAGGTGTTTTGGATTCCAACTCCCACAATTCCTAACAGCCTCAGGAACCTTCCTTCTCCCCTTCAGCCGCTTAAGCTTAATGCTGGGCCCATAACCAACGTTAGGCTCTGTTGCCTGTGTGCAATGCAAGGAAGCTTCCTCTACAGCAGGCYTGGGCAAACTTGGGCCCTCCCTCCAGGTATTTTYGACTCCAACTCCCACCATTCCTAACAGCCTCAGGCCCTTTCCTTTCCCCCCTCAGCTACTTAAGCTGAGTGCTGGGCCCATAACCAATATTATGCTTTGRTGCTGTGCGTAATGCAAAGAAGCTTCCTCTACAGTAGGCATSGGCAAACTTGGACCCTCCCTCCAGATGTTTTGGACTCCAACTCCCACAATTCCTAGCAGCCTCAGGACCCTTCCTTCTCCCCCTCAGCCGCTTAAGCTGAATGCTGGGCCCATAACCAACATTAGGCTCTGTTTCCTGTGTGCAATGCAAGGAAGCTTCCTCTACAGCAGGCACGGGCAAACTTGGGGCCTCCAGGTTTTTTGGACTCCAACTCCTACCATTCCTAACAGCCTCAGGACCCTTCCTTTTTCCCCTTAGCTGCTTAAGCTGAGTGCTGGGCCCATAACCAACTTTAGGCTTTGTTGCCTTCGTGGAATGCAAGGAAGCTTCCACTTCAGCAGGCATGGGGAAACTTGGGCCCTCCCTCCAGGTGTTTTGGACTCCAACTCCCACAATTCCTAGCAGCCTCAGGCCCCTTCCTTTCGCCCCTCAGCTCCGTAAGCTGAGTGCTGGGGCCATAACTTAATTGGCTGAGGGGGGAAAGGAAAGGGCCCATGGCTCAATGCTACGGCATCATAGGAGTAGCAATTTGTTGAGACACTGGCATTTTTTGCCAAGGAGGCTAAAGAACTTGTAAAACTACAGCTCCCAGAATTTCATAGTACTGAGCCATGGCAGTTGGTATCCAAACTGCATTAGGTCTGCAGCGTTGATGCACCTTGCGTCATCCTTATCCTTTGCCTCGTCTGCCCCAACCAGACAGAAGTGCTTTAATTGACTCTAATAGCCACCAAATGACAACGACGTCCATTAATATGCAAATCAATTAGCAAAAGTGATTGGCAGGAGGACTGGGATTAGGTGACTCTGGGAAGGACCATGGAGCGAAACAGAGGGAGGAATAATAATAATAATAATAATAATAATAATATATTGTCGAAGGCTTTCGTGTCCGGAATCACTGGGTTGTTTTAGGTTTTTTCAGGCTGTATGGCCATGTTCTAGAAGTATTCTCTCCTGGCGTTTCGCCTGCATCTGTGATCTTGTTTGTTGTGTAATAATATTGTTATGTATTCAATGTTGTTATTATTATTATTATTATTATTATTATTATTATAACATATTGCTTGTACTTCTTGAGAGCAGTGTGTATAAAAAAGATCTTGGAGTCCTCGTGGACAACAAGTTAAACATGAGCCAACAATGCGATGCAACGGCAAAAAAAGCCAATGGGATTTTGGCCTGCATCAATAGGAGTCTAGTGCCTAGATCCAGGGAAGTCATGCTCCCCATGCTCTATTCTGCTTTGGTTAGAATCAGTGTCCAATTCTGGGCACCACAATTGAAGGGAGATGTTGACAAGCTGGAAGGTGTCCAGAGGAGGGAGACTCAAATGATCAAGGGTCTGGAGAACAAGCCCTATGAGGAGCGGCTTGAAGAGCTGGGCATGTTTCGCCTGAAGAAGAAAAGGCTGAGAGGAGACATGATGAGGGCCATGTATAAGTATGTGAGGGAAGTCATAGAGAGGAGGGAGCAAGCTTGTTTTCTGCTGCCCTGGAGACTAGGACGCAATGGAGCAATGGCTTCAAACTACAAGAAAGGAGATTCCACCTGAACATGAGGAAGAACTTCCTGACTGTGAGAGCTGTTCAGCAGTGGAACTCTCTGCCTCGGAGTGTGGTGGAGGCTTCTTCTTTGGAGGCTTTTAAGCAGAGACTGGATGGCCATCTGTTGGGGGTGCTTTGAATGCAATGTTCCTGCTTCTTGGCAGGGGGTTGGACTGGATGGCCCACGAGGTCTCTTCCAACTCTACGAATCTATGATTCTATTACTATTATTATTATTATTATTATTATTATTATTATTATTATTAATAATAATAATAATAATAATAATATACTGACTGTATATTAGTCTAAAGTTCACATTTTTGATCTGCTCATTCATAGTAAAAAATAAGGATGAGTTTAAAAATAATTGTATTTTCTTTTATCTGGAGCATTATTTTCCTTGAACCTCTGGAATTTTTTTGCTTTGGGAACCGATTATTCTAACCAAATGTTCTTTTGTTTTGATTGACAGATGAATCGCCCAATCCAAGTGAAGCCAGCAGACAGCGAAGGCAGAGGAGGTAGGTAACTCTTTGGTTTAAACACCTTTGATGCTGAGAATGTCTTTAATGCAGGACCGGGGAACCTGTGGCATCCAGATGTTTCATGTGGGACCTATGCTCCTAACCCCAGTCCATGTGGGGTTAGGAGCATATATATCTCCATGTGGAGGGATGTCTAGAGGCCGCCGTGGCACAACGGGTTAAACTGTTGCACTGTTGAATTTGCTGACCTAAAGATTGGCAATTCGAAGATGCGGGTCAGGGTGAGCTCCTGCTGTTAGCCCTAGTTCCTGCCAACCTAGCAGTTCAAAAACATGCAAATATGAGTAGATCAATAGATATTGCTTCAGTGGTAAGATAATTAAGGCATCCATGCCGGCAACTCAACCAGGAGGTGTCTATGGACAACAGATTCCTCGGTTTGGAAATGGACCAAGAGCACCTCCTCATGGCCAGAGCTGAGCACTGTCTCCAGAAGCCGGAGATGAAAGGGGAAGCCTTTACTTTTGCTCTGTGTATTTATGTGTCAGTGTTACTCCGCTGCATTAAAGGCATTGAATGTTTGCCTCTCTGTGTATGTTGTAATCCGCACTAAAAAGAAAGAAACCTGGGAGTCTGAGGTTCTAGTTTTCTTCTAAGGAGGATTGCAAGTGTTCATTTGCCCTCCCCATTGCAGACATGATAACGTGTTCAATAAATATAGCAGATGGCATACCAACAAGCTGGCTTCTGCTATTTCGAGACTGTAAAAAGTAGGCTAGATTACACTATAGCAAGAAAAGGCATGAATAGAAAATCTATGCAAACATATATCTCCAAAGGTTTGTTTTATAGGCCTAACAGTATGCAAATCTTGTAAAATTTACAGAAGCAGATTCATTAGAGCAAATGATACCCATCTGAACTCGTCTCTGGCCCAAGAATAATACAACGGCCAACGGTGCATCTGCACTGTATTTATTTTTGTACTAACCGTCCCCTGCCACGCATTGCTGTGGCCCAGTCTCTGCTTTCAGTGTTATGACTGATGATCACGCCTTGGCCTGATAGGTGCCTTGTGTCCAAATTTGGTGTCATTTCGTCCAGTGGTTTTTGAGTTATGTTAATCCCACAAACAAACATTACATTTTTTATATATAGACTAGCCGTCCCCTGCCACATGTTGCTGTGGCCCAGTCTGGTGATCTGGAAAATAAAGTAATGAGAAAGTGTTGGTTTCTAATATAGGTAATGTCTTGATGCTTGTGGGTAAACAGTATTTGATTACGTTTTCTTGCCCTGGTGAAGGGAGTTGGACTGGGTGGCCTTAAGTATTTTCTATTGGTCGTAGGGATTCTGTGTGGGAAGTCTGCTCCAATTTTATCATTCGTGGGGTTCAGAATGCTCTTTGATTGCAGGTGAACTATAAATCCCAGTAACTACAACTCCCAAATGTCAAGGTCTGTATTCCCCATGCTACATCTGTGTTTCTAATTGGTCATATGGAATATTCGTGCCAAGTTTGGTCCAGATCCATCACTGTTTTGAGTCCACAGTGCTCTCTGGATGTAGGTGTACTACAACTCCCAAACTCAACGTCAATGCCCACCAAACCCTTCTGGTAATTTCCGTTGGTCATGGAAATCCTGTGTGCCACGTTTGGTTCAATTCCATCACTGGTGGAGGTCAGAATGCTCTCTGTTTGTAGGTTAATTATAAATCGCAGCAACTACAACTCCCAAATGATAAACTCATTTTTTTTGAGTGATGGTCACTCCTTGGGTCAGTAGGTATATTGTGGCCAAATTTGGGGGCAATTCGTCCAGTGGTTTTTGAATTATGTTAATCTCACAAACAAACAAACATTACATTTTTATTTATATAGATTACTAGCCATCCCCTGCCATGCGTTGCTGTGGCCCAGTCTGTGTATATGTATTCTGTGTGTGTATGTGTGTGTTTGCATTTATATATGTGGTTTTGTGCATGTGTTGTAGCATCTTTTTGCTTTTTTGGCTTTTTAAGTCCCTTCTACTGTGTTTTTCAGAGTTTTTATGAGTGATGGTCACTTGTTGGCCTGAGAGGTGTCTTGTGTCCAAATTTGGTGTCAATTCGTCCAGTGGTTTCTAAGTTATGTTAATCCCACAAACAAACATTACATTTTTATTTATATAGATTACTAGCTGTACCGGCCACGCATTGCTGTCTCCAACCTTCCCTCCCTCTTTCTCTCCTTCATTCTTTCTCTCTTTCATTCCTTTTTTTTTCTTTCATTCTCTCCTTCCTTCTTTTCTTCCTCTTCCCTTCCTTCCCCCCTTTTTCTTTCCCTTCCCCTTTCTCCCTTTCTTCCTTCTCTACCTATTCTTGGACTGCAACTCCCAGCAGTCCTCCTGATCCATCTTTCGACCTACCTACCTATCTATCTCTATCTGGAGGATTGCTGGGAGTTGCAGTCCAGGAATAGGAAATTGGAAATATGCAGGGATTGGGATGCTCTCAAAGAAATCCAAGGAGAAGAAATCTTGCATCTTGGAAGCAGTGCATTTGGATCATCCTCCTCTCCTAAAGGGCCTGGTCTAGGGGATGCTGGGAGCTGTAGTCCGGAAGAGAGTGTGGATATGCTATTGTGTGTTTTGTTTGCCAGGGGAGTTGTTTTTGCGCATGCGCTATATCATCTTTTTGCTTTTTTGGCTTTTTAAGTCTCTTCTGCTGTGTTTTTCAGTGTTTTTATGAGTGATGGTGACTAGTTGGCCTGAGAGGTGTCTTGTGTCCAAACTTGGTGTCAATTCATCCAGTAGTTTTTGAGTTATGCTAATCCCACAAACGAACATTACATTTTTATTTATATAGATTGAAGGCTTTCATGGCCAGAATCACTGGGTTACTGTGAGTTTTCTGGGCTGCATGAAACATGGAGTTTTCCAGGCTGTATGGAATGCTTCTGGAACATAGCCATGCAGCCCGGAAAACTCACCTCACAGCAACCCAGTGTATTTATTTCCCATGTCAGAAGCGAATTGGGAATACAGTTATAATATATAGAAAAACCACAAACAAAATCAAAAGCTTGGCATTATGCTAAATTTCCTTTGACCACTTCAAGACATCTGGTGTCGCTGTGAGAAGGTTCTCCGTTGTGCATGTGGCAGTGCTCAGGCCGCATTGTAGTAAGTGGTCTGTCGTTTGCTTTCTCCACATTTGCATGTTGTGGACTCCACTTTGTGGCCCCATTTCTGCATCTCGTGGTGCCTTCCAAGTTGCCCAGTTTTCTGTGAGCTGCCAATTGAGTTTCTGGATTCTAGCCTGCCACTTTTGGACTCTTGCTTGCTGAGGTGTATCTATGTAGATCTTAGGAAGCTATTTCTTGATTTAAGGCATTGGCTTGCTGGCTGATATCCGAATATAGGATGGGTCAGCGATGTCACTTGGTCCTTTCATTGTTGGCTGCTACTTCCCGAAAGATGTCAGGTGGTGCAATGGCTGTGGATATAAATGCACCAACGACAAGTAAAAGGTTGACTACCAAGACCTAGTGGAGATGTAAATAAATATATATTTCATTTGCTTATGGATGTAATTGCTTGGATGTGCCATTCAGTTTTAGTGGAACTACTTTATCTCCATCCTTAAGAAATTGAGAATTTTGACAGTGGGTGACTAGTGCCCTCTAGGGGCAGCAATGCACCACTATTCAAAATTTTGCCCATAATACAGTATAGCCAAGACATATACGCAAACACACATATACACAAATATGTACACACACAAAACACATATACACAGACACACATATACACATATACACAAATATATACACACACAAAACACATATCCACAGACTGGGCCACAGCAACATGTGGCAGGGGATGGCTAGAAAAATATAMATACAGTTTATTATTATTAYACTGACARTTATAATGAAATTCATTCTGCATTAAATGGCAATGCWGATGGGGCCATAGAGCAGTGGTTCTCAACCTTCCTAATGCTACGACCCTTAATACAGTTTCTCATGTTGTGGCRACCCCCAAACATAATTTTTTTTCCCATTGCTACTTCATAACTGTAATTTTGCTACTATTATGAATTGTAATGTAAATATAGGATATGCAGGATGTATTTTCATTCACTGGACCAAATTTGGCACAAATACCCAATACACCCAAATTTGAATACTGGTGGGGTTGTGRGGGATGGAATTTGTCATTTGGGAGTTGCTGGGATTTATAGTTCACCATCAATTAAAGAGCATTCTGAATCCACCAACAATGGAATGGAACCAAACTTGGCACACAGAATTCCCATGACCAACAGAAAATACTGGAAGGGTTAGTGAGCATTGACCTTGAGTTTTGGAGTTGTAGTTCACCTACATCCAGAGAACTCTGTGGACTCAAACAATGATGGCTCTGGAGCAAACTTGGCACGAATACTCAATATGCCCAAATGTGAACACTGGGAAAATGGACCTTGACATTTGGGAGTTATAGTTGCTGGGATTTATAGTTCACCTACAATCAAAGAGCATTCCGGACCCCACCAATGATAGAATTGGGCCAAACTTCCCACACAGAACCCCCATGACCAACAGAAAATACTGTGTTTTCTTATGGTCTTTGGCGACCCATCTGACAACCCCTCGCAACCCATCCAGAAGTCCCAATCCTTAGTTTGAGAAACACTGGTCTAAGGACAACAAAGCTCTTTGGCATGGAAGATGGAGCAACAGCACCCTCTGTGGCCAGAGTCAAGCACAGCCTCTAGATGCCAGAGATGGAAATAGTTAGGAAGCCTTTGCCTCTGTTTATGTATTGTCTGTCCTTCTTAATGGCATTGAATGTTTTCCCTATATGTGTACTGTAATCCACCTTGAGTCCCCTCAGGGAGATAGAGCAGAATATAAATTAAATCTATATAAATAAAAATGTAATGTTCATTTGTGGGATTAACATAACTCAAAAACCACTGAACAAATTGACACCAAATTTGGACACAATACACCTATCAGGTCAACAAGTGACCATCAACTCATAAAAACA